ACAAAAAGAATTTGCAGTTTTAAACCGCTATTTCACGGTAATCGACCGCTTTTTGCGGTTTACCGCTTTGCAGTTTCAAAAATCACCATACCGCAAATAGTCGGTCGGTTTGCGGTTTAGGCAAACATTCGCTGTTACCAAACCGCAACCACTCCTAAAAAAAAGGACCCATTATAGCATTAATAAAAAAATAAAAATAAAAAAGTCCCGAATGTAGCCACCCGGCTATACTATTTATCGAAAAAAAAAATTATATCCTGGTATAGCAGGCTATATTCTTTGAACATTATTGTTGAAAAAAAGTGTGTTGTCTACGGATATGAATTGCTGAATTAAGTTACATGGTGTTGGCTAAGGTTGTTATCAGACCTTTGGGAAAGGGGCCTGTCACTTTACTATCTTGATAGGAACTAGTTCTTTGATGGTTCTTATTTCCATATGATTTTTTTAGGTACTTAGATAATTAAATTTTGAAAAACAATAATACTTGATGTAGAAAAAAATAAAAAAGTGTGTCACTTTAGCCTTAGATATGTCATTGGAATAAAAGTTAAAATTAAGGTTTTTATTTTATTTTTTTATCTGAGGAAGATTATGGATGAAGTTAAAGTAGGTTTTGAGCTAGTGACTTTTGGCCATATGTAGGAGCAAGCATAACCAAGTGTATTTATGAGTGAATGTATAATTCTAGGTGACACTTTTTTAAGTGTTTTTTACTCCCATGTATTGAGTGAAAAGTTTAATATAATTCTTCTAACCACATACCAGATGAATGCAGATTGGCCAAGATCCGAAACCTGTCATGCGAGACACCTATAACATGTTTAAAGGTGGGGGTGATCCGGAAAAGGTGTTGATTAAGAAATTTTTTATATGACCAAAACCATTTCTTAGTTGAGCTAGCTACTTGTGCAGTTCATAAGGTTAGAATCTAGAAAGGCATCTCATTTATGTGCGTCTCCCAATATATTCTCATGTGGTGGTGTTGGTTGTGGAGATGACGGTGGAAGTGGAGGCTTTGGAGGAGGTGGTGGTAGTGGTGGTGGTGGCTGTGGCGGTGGAGGTAGTGAATGTGGTGGGGCAAGTGGTGGAGTTGGATGTGGAAGTAGAGTTGGTGTCATTTTTTAAAATGAATGATGATATTTTGGGAATTTAAAAAAATTCATGAACGGTTCATCTCCGCTTATTTTGAAAGTAGCTTTGAAAAGAAACCCAGAGTCTGCTTAAAAGCTGCTCTCAAAAGGCCACTTCTTTTAAAATAATTGGGATATTTTATTTTTACCAAACACTTTAAACTGCTTAACTTTAAAGTGAATCAGGTTTTTAGCCAAAAAAAGCAATCTCAAGCAATTTTATACTGTGAAATTCAACCTTCTTTGATCCACAAAATGTTGGCGGATCCCTATTTTTTGTTGTTGTATTTATGGGTTTAACCCGTATTATTTGTTATAAATAAAATTCATTTTTTTATTCTTTCCCAATGGGCTAATAGTTAGATTGTTAGAAATCATTAGAATGAGAGGTATCAGAAAGAATTTAAATTTTCATTCCCCAATATCGCTTGTATAAAGAAAATAATTGCAGAAATAACTCCAGCCCCAAAAACCTAAAACGATATAACAAAAATGTATATTTCAAGGGTATAGCCGCACGGCTATACTGTCTAAATACGTTCGGATATTTTGAAGGTGTAGCCGAACGGCTAGACTCTTTAAATTTTAATATATTTGAATATTTTAAGAATATAGCCGAACGGCGATACTCTTTAAATATTAACACGAAGCTTGCACTCGCAGTGACCGCCATTTCGCTTCTCTATCAAACTAAAGCTCCGATTGGTTTTCTTCAAAGCTCCGATTGTTTCGGCTGCTTCGTCCTCCAGGTTCGGCATCGTAAAAAGACCTAACCCGCCTAGGAGGCCGCCCAGCCGCCTAGCCCCCGCCTAGCCGCCTAGCGCCAGCCTAGCCCCCGCCTAGCCGCCTAGCGCCCGCCTAGCCCACATCATCGGCTTGTTGCAGATTTTGACCGAGAAAATTCTGATATTGGAGACAGGGTCGAGTTCCAGAGCCGTAGAATTGGACCATATTCAGGAGGAGATTGAGGAGGTGTCTGCCGTTCCGGAAGTGAAGGAGAAGAAGAAGAGCAGAAATGCTTTGAGGAAGGGGTCGGAAGGTGAAGAGGTCCGAGCTATGCAGGTCTGCTTGCTTTTGAAAGGCGAGTTTTGATTTTTCGGAGTCTATCATTCATTTCTTGTGTTTTGTTTATGATTTAGTGTTGTCTTTGAATTATAAATAAAATGGTACTTTTAAATTTGGCAAATTGAAAACTGAGCAGCATACAGTTTTTTAGGACTTTCAAGGGGGTATTAACTTTGTCTTTAGTATAGAAAGTTGTTAACTTTTGTTTCTTTTCTTTTCCTGTAACTGGGTTTGTGTGGTTATTTCCTTTTCTAGTGTTTGCTTCGTTTTTGGATGTAATATTTGTGATTTCGACTTGTTCTAATATAATGTTCCTGTTATTTGACAGGAAGCATCCCAAAACTAGGATTTTACTTGGGTGAGGAAGACATGGAGTTTTCCAGCTTCTCAAGCGGGACCAAACGTGCTGTCAAGACTTGGCAAGTAAGTTTCAATTATCATTAGATGTTACTATGTGCTGTCAAGACTTGGGATCTGGTCGTAGATACAATAGATACTGGCTTTTCTTGGGCCCTTGTAATGCATATGACCCAGGACATAGAAGGGTTTATTTCGAATCTTCAGAAGGTGGTCACTGGGAGGTGATTGATACAGGAGGTATTCTGCTGAATTTTTGTTATACGATCAATGTGATTGTAGTACATATTGCTTGACCTTGTATAAGTTATAATATTTACTTGCTCTTTCTTAAACCAAATGCAGGCTCTGTGTGCTTTGTTGTCAGTTTTGGATGACAGGGGTAAACGAGAGGCTCTTCTTATTGAATCCCTGGAGAAACGAATAGCGTTTCTGTGCCAAGCGATGTCAAGTAGAATGGTAAATAGTGATAGAATTGACAACTTGGCGCAATCTGATCAATCTGAGCTGGATAGTGTTAGAGAAGACACTTATTCACCAGTATCTGATGTAGACAACAACTTATCTGGAATTGCAAATGATTCTCTGCCTTCATCTGGAGTTGTGGTTCTTGAAGTTAGAAAGAAAGGAGAACAACAGAAACAGAAATGGAGCCGAATCAAAGCATTTGATTCATGGTTATGGAATTCCTTTTACCTAGAACTTAATGCTGTCAAACATGGTAAACGATCATATTTTGATACACTTACTAGATGTGAAAGTTGTCATGATTTGTATTGGAGAGATGAGAAGCACTGCAGGATTTGCCATACAACATTTGAGCTTCATTTTGATCTGGAAGAAAGGTATGCCATCCATGTAGCCACATGTAAGGAGAAAGAAGCGAGTGATACTTTTCCTAAGCATAAGGTCCTCTCATCACAGATCCAATCACTAAAAGCTGCGATGCATGCAATTGAGGTAACCTATCATTTGGATTTTAGCTTTGCATTTTGTGATATATGTTTGTTATGGTATTGAAGATGTCTTCTAGTTAAAAAGATTTCAAGCTACACATATCTTTGATAGACTGGAGGAGAATAGGACTTCAGTTGAGGATCAACCTAGGAATGAATTAAGTGTTCATGGTTTGGATAATTTGAATGTGACTTTTGAGATTTATGCGCAATCAAATCTGATAGCTTTTATATAATAAAAAAAAAGAAGAGAAAATCCCTGAAGTGCAATAAGATTTTAGAGGAAGGGATGCGGGATGGCGGGGAAGGGATTGATGAAAAGGCATACTGCTGTGAATGTAGCAGAATGGTTGATTAGTATCCACCTGCCCTATCTGATTTGTTCGGGCCTCTGGTAGCTGGCCATAAATAGTGGGATTATTTTAGTTGGATTTTGGGGCCTGAACCTTTTGATTGTCGGATGGTTAAAACAGGTTTTCTAGGTTATATATCGAAGACATTTCTATTCGCCCCAAACTTTTTAATGTTTTTCCGTGCTATATTGATCTCCACCTCCCTCTGCTTTGTGCAGTCAGCCATGCCAGAAGATGCTTTGTTGGGTGCTTGGAAAAAATCTGCTCATAAGCTATGGGTGAAACGACTAAGACGTACCTCATCTTTGGCTGAGCTTTTGCAGGTTTTCTATTTTCCTTTTTTCACACTATCTATTTTTTGTTTATTTTCTAGTCGGAACCATCAGTTTCTTTATTGTTTACTCGTGCAGGTTCTTGGTGATTTTGTTGGTGCCATCAACGAGGACCGATTATATGAATGCAATATAGAGCAAGGTTCTTGTAATTTTAGTGAAGAACTGATTGTGTCCTTTGCATGTATGCCCCAAACAACATCTGCAGTTGCGCTCTGGTTGGTGAGATTGAATGCCTTAATTGCTCCATACTTGGAAAGAGCCCATTCTCAGAAAAGGCTGGAAATTAGTGTCAGAGGTAATGATTGAATATAATGCAGATTGGTGCTTGACAATTGAGTGACTTCTTAATTGTTTTCATAGCTTTTCAAATTTTCGCCATCTTAAAAGCTTCTTTTACTTCAGGGAATCATGCTCCAAAGCAATAGCACCGCCTTTTTTCTGTAGATTAGCCAAATTCAATCCCACATTTTTTTGACAGATTGAGGAGCATTTATATGTCCATTGTACTGCCAGATCAGTGGAACTGTTGCAGGCTTTGAAACCGTGGTACTTTGTATGAAGCTATGCTTCAAGTTTTCTATTTAGTTGCCATATATGGCCATTGAGTCGTTAGATGTACAGCATGAAGGAAAGTTGGACGTTTAATAGATACAAGAGTTTCATATCACTGAAACCTGCTCCAGAGAAATATCCTCACGTTAATCCTATATTCGCTTGTGAAGAATATGGCAGCCTCTTTACTGTCTCAGTCAATGGAGGAACTCAGATTTTGTTAATGCATGCTTGTTCTAGTTTTTTAAAGCAGGAATAAAATGTTGTCAAATGTACATTGTTGTAAAGAAAAACAAAATACTGTTTTTTTATTTTATTTTTTAAAATAGAAGATTTGAAAGTCATCTTTGTGATAATCTTTTGTAGCTAGAACAATGTTTATTGTAGTTGAATATCCTCGGCCTCACAGTTTGTTGCCAAAGACTTGTTGGTTTATTGAAATTTGCATTTCTTCATTGGGGTTCTCGTAGCTATTGATTGGTAAAAAAAATAGACATTCACCAAGAATGCTGGAATTATATTACACAAGAATAGCACTAGATAAATAAAACATTTAGGGTTTGGCTGTACTTTTTCTATGGCATTTTTTAAGATAATAGTTGCTGCATAATTTCACGAAAAACTCCATGCATTCCTCGAAGCCTTCTTCCGGGTTTCAGTAGCAATTCTCAGTGCCTTGAGCAACAAACTTTATATATATGCCTCAGTTTTTGTGGCCATTTTAAACTTAAAATTATCAGTTGAAGAGGAAGGAAGAAACTGAGAGGGAGAGCTATAATACTGAAGTTATTTTTGTTGTACAAAGTTGTTCTGCTTTGTGACTAAGCAAGGGAAATAGTGTGATTTTATATAAGTGGAATGGAAGTTGGAAGCCATATATACAAGCAATTACTAATTTCCCTGATCCCTCTGTTTATTATTAAAATAAACCCGAGTTGGAAAAGGTTTGATGACGGTCTGGCGGGCAACCAATCCTGATGTTAGAGATTTTCCTGTTGACATTGGTTTTGCTAACTTGTGTATTGCGAAAACCAGTAACTCGAAACAGAAGATTGCAACACCAAAAATGTGATTTAGTCTGTATTGCTTGCAGATATGTGAGAAAGACTCTGCCAACAAAGAAAAATGTGAACTTGCTTTGGAAGGAGCAGATTCCCAAGAACACTCGGATAAGATCGCAATGCTTGTGGATGATGAAGAGCTGGAGGTAAGAGAATTACAAGGAAGCCCAAATGCACTGGGGTTCTCTGATCATTTTACTACTAATGGAGATCATGCCTGTTCCCTTTGCAAAGGTTGGTTTGAGGGATGAACAGAACAAATTTTCCACTTTAAAATGAAATGCTGTAATATGTATGTGTCTGCATGTATAATATTTTGAGCTGTGGAAGTAGAGTTGGTGTCCTTTTTTAAAATGAATGACGGTATTTTGGGAATTTGAAAAATTCATAAAAGGTTCACCTCCGCTTCTTTTGAAAGTAGCTTTGAAAAGAAACTCAGAGTCTGCTTTTAAAAGCTGCTGTCAAAAAGCCACTTCTTTTAAAATAATTAGGCTATTTTATTTTTACCAAACACCTTAAACTGCTTAACTTTAAAGTGAATCAAGTTTTTGGCCAAAAAAAAAACAATCCCAAGCAATTTTATACTATGAAATTCAACCTTCTTTGATCCACAAAATGTTGGCGGATCCCTATTTTTTGTTGTTGTATTTATGGGTTTAACCGTATTATTTGTTATAAATAAAATTCATTTTTTTATTCTTTCCCAATGGGCTAATAGTTAGATTGTTAGAAATCATTAGAATGAGAGGTATCAGAAAGAATTTAAATTTTCATTCCCCAATATCGCTTGTATAAATAAAAGAATTGCAGAAATAACTCTAGCCCAATGGGCTAAAGTGGTATTGTAGCCCCAAAAACCTAAAACGATATGACAAAAATATAAGGGTATAGCCGCCCGGCTATACTTTCTAAATACGTTCGAATATTTTAAAGGTGTAGCCGAACGGTTAGACTCTTTAAATACTAATATATTCGAATATTTTAAGAGTATAGCCGACCGGCTATACTCTTTAAATATTAACACGAAGCTTGCACTCGCAGTGACAGCAATTTCGCTTATTTATCAAACTAAAGCTCCGATTGGTTTTCTTCAAAGCTCCGATTGTTTCGGCAGCTTCGTCCTCCAGGTTCGGCATCGTAAAAAGACCCAACCCGCCTAGGAGGCCGCCCAGCCGCCTAGCCTCCGCCTAGCCGCCTAGCGCCCGCCTAGCCCCCGCCTAGCGCCCTCCTAGCCCCACATCACCGGCTTGTTGCAGATTTTGACCGAGAAAATTCTGATATCGGAGACAGGGTCGAGTTCCAGAGACGTAGAATTGGACCATATTCAGGAGGAGATTGAGGATGTGTCTGCCGTTCCGGAAGTGAAGGAGAAGAAGAAGAGCAG